GCGGTAACCATAATGGTGGTCGAGTAGATCATGTTGTGCGGGGTGGAGAACCCTCACCCAGCGCAACGGGGATGATCGCACCACGTTGTGTTAAATTGGTCAAGCACCCTCGAGGCAGTTACACAGTGCTTACAACTGTCTCTGGAAGTGAAAGCACCAGAAAATAAATTAAGTCATACGCAGCTGTCATCTGTACGCAAGGAAGTAAGCACAAGATGCCGAACACCCTTAGCAGGATGCAGCGCACCCTTCATGCGACTCNCCCCCCCCCCCTCTTCACCGTGAAAGACCCGCCGCACGGCTTGCTCTTCATCCCGCTTCTGGTGCTCTACGTAGGTTCTCGCTTCATATCGCTACCCTTGGCTTGCGACTATGAATAGCGCACCTCCGAGCCTCTCGAGTACTCGTGAACGTTCACCACGCTGGCCTTGTTCTTCATGAGGTGGTTCCGCACCCGCACGTAGTCGAAGTAGGACGGGATGAACACCGCCGTGTGGGATTGCTTGGCCCTCAGCACCTGCGGTAGCACCGTGCCCACGAAGTACTCGAAGCGCGAGTCGTCCTGGGTGACGAGAGACTCGCACGGCACTCGCTGGAACACCTGCACAAGCAAACAAGAAGAAGCTACACTTGAAACATACATGCTCAAGACAGATGAGATCCCTACATATCGAGCTAATAGCTTTTCGAGGGGAGGGCCCCTTGCGATCGGTAGGACATACGTGATCGGAGTTAATTTGCTCCATGGTGATCTGAAGGACATAGGCATCTCATGGTCTGTCCTACCCTGGAGTATGTGTGAAACAATACTGACTAGGTTTCCTCTGTGCTGTCATGGCTTTCCCTCATTCTCTGCCTTCAACCTCATGTGGACAAAAAAATACTGCGACCATGCAGGTCGTCGGGTACATGTTGGGTACGATTTGCTGCTTCAAATCATCCATAACTGCCCATGTACCGTCGCACGCAATGCCTACTATACCCTCTTTAGGGTCTTCACTTCTCCACTGACAAGCTTCGGTCTGGGGCCCCGCAGAGGAGGAAGGCCTCGGTCGTGCATGTTCTCAATGCTCAATACTCGAACAAGTAGGGTTCGACTAATCTTTTTCCTTCCCCCGAGATCGAGTTGAAATACGGGGGAGACAAAGTTGCTGTGAATGACGAGCAGTTCCTATTGTTGCTTTCACATTTAAAAACCGTTCCGATAATTACAAACGTGATACTTAGGCAGAGGGTAGATCCACGTTGAGAGTCCAGACACCTTCTACAACAGCAAGCTTGACCATTGGGTTTTGATAAGATACGAGTGAGGTGCTTGCCTGCAACGCGCGTGGCCCACAGACGAGAAACACAACTTGAATACTAGCCTGAAAGAAACCAACAGACAAAAGCTATTCAACACCAAAAATTAAGGCGTGAAGCAACAGCAGGACGCAGTCGCCCTTGACTGTTCCAGCGTAGACTACAAAATGTATTTCAGCTTGGAATTACTCACTGCTGCATGGGCACGACCTGGTTTGCGGGGCGTTCAAAATGACGGTACGTTTCTTGCTGGAAACGCGGCGCGAACCACGTGCGCGGGCCGGAGTTTACCGCAAGGTTTCTACCCCACATTGTCATGCCGGTTGCTGAATGGGGTAGCAGCTCACTCTTTCGATGGGATCAGAACTACAGCAAGCTGTCGGTTGACGAGGCTTTGCCTTTAGTGTCACCTGCTTGGCTTGGAGAGCCACCTCGCAGATGTGCCCTTCACCGCTGGGTCTTGAGATCTTGACGACGCCGTCGTGATTCCTTAGATGCCTCGATGCAAACGCGTTCAGGTTGGGGTCCTGGCCATTCAAACAGCACACAAGCCACCAAGACTCAAGATCAGACCAACACGGCTCCGGCCGCGAGACCGGTCGGTGGACACGCCAAATCGGCAACTCAGAGGGTCTAAGCAAAAAATCGCCATGGTTTTGTGACGAGAGAAACAAGGTATACGTAGGTTCAAAGCGCTCGCCAGCTGGATGACAAGCATCACAATAACTTCCGCTACATTTCGCTGGTGGCCCCAAGCAAGCAAGACAACTAGAAGAACACCGTGTACCAAAAAAAATACTACTAATACGCAGCCCAACGAGTGAGTCTAACGAGAAGCACGCTGACACGCTAACGAAGGCCGACAAACGCAAACCCCACCTGGAAGGCGCTGAAGACAAGGGTCTGCCGGAAGAGCCTGCCCTGTTCGTGCAAGAACAGCGGCCGCACCCTGGAGAAGTCCGCGCGCGACGCCCGCTCCCCGGTCGGCCTCGAGTTGAGAACCTCCGCGATGTCCGGCACGTAGGACCAGTTCTGCATCAGAAACACGTCCGCCCTGTCCAGGATGCACACCTCTACGCTCGACAAGAAGTCCGAGTCAACACCACCGCTGCCGTCTCCCTCACCACCGTCTCCCGGCACGGATGCACGGTGCAGCGCCACCGGAGAGGCGATGATAATGTCGCTGTTGTAGAAGTCGCAGTAGAGGCGCACGCCCACCCCTCTCCCCTCCCCGGGCTTGCCCTTGCCGCCCCCCGGCGACAAGGAGATGCCGAGGGTGAACATGTCGTCGACGTTGCGGCCCTCCCCTAGCAGAGCCTTCCAGTCTCCGGGCTTGCGCTCAAGGACGGCCTTGGCGCGCTCCGCCCTGGCGTTTTCTCGCTTGGTGCCGTCTGCTTCCGCCCCCTCGATGCCGGCCTCTTCATCGTTGTGGTCGTCGGGCCCGTACTCCTCGTCGAAGCGGCCCTTGTTGACCGTCACCGTCTTGGGGCCCAACAAATCGATCATCATTTCCACCACCTCGTGTGCGAGGCCTCGGAAGGGCAGGAGGATAAGGACCTTGGGGCGGGTGAAGCCCTGGTCCCGTTGCCAGTCGTCCGACTCCGAGTCTACCGTAGCTTTCTTGCTGCTTACCGCCGCCGCTGCCGCCCCCTCGGAAACAGTACCATTGCCAATTGAGGACGACTCGCTCTTGCTACCAACGGCCGGTGTCACTGATTCCTTACCACCGCCCCTCTTTTTTCGAGACTGGTGCTGGCCCCCTGTGGCACCGCCGTTGCTGTTTCGCTCCGCATCATCACCGGCGCCAGAGCTGGCTTCTTTTTGGGCTGCCCGGGCCAGCACCTCGGCCACCCGAGCCTCCTCGGCCGCCTTGCGCAGACGAGCCGTGTGCCTGACCACCCTGCGCCGCGAGGTGAGGGCGTGGTTGAGAGCGTGCAGGGCGTAGCACCGCCTGATCTCCTCCGCCTCCTCGTCTCGCCACCCGCAGTAAAGCATATCCCTGTACCCGGACAGAGATGGCAGCAGCAAGGACTGCAGTTTCGACGCCGGGGCCCCGTCGTTGCACGCCTCCCAGCCCCGCTCCAAGGAGGGAAGTACCCCCAGTTCGGCGGAGACGCTGGCCCCCTTGGGCAAGGGCGGGGGAACAACACCGTCGCCGTCTTTTTCTTCTTGTGTCGCTGCCTTCCGAGAGGCGGCGGCGGAGAGCCCCGCCGCGTCCCAGTTGCTCCGCTCCGCGTTCGAGGACAGGGGCTTGAACGAGGGCCGCCCGCGATTGGAGAAAAGGTCCGCCGCCTTCTCCGGCGGGAAAACAGAGGTGGAGACGAAGTGCCGGCAGAATTCGTCTCGGCTGCGACCGGCCGCCCTCCCCCCCACCCCCCCCGCGCCCGCGTCGTCATCACCGCTGTCGTCACCGACATCGCTCTCCATGTCAACATCGTGGGTTGATCTCCCGTTGGGCGTTCCCCCGTTCAGGTTCTCTTGGCCGTTGTCCCCACGCCCTTCGACATCGTCGTTTCCCGCTCCGTCAACGTCTTCTCCCGCTTGTCCGCTATCGTCGCTATCGTCGTCGTCCGCCTCCTCCTCTTTGCCGTCCTCCTCCCCTTCCCCGCTGTCGCTACCGGAAGAGCTGCTGCTTCCGTAGCTGTCGTCCCGCCCTTCCCGCTGCATGCGTCTTGCCACGACCGCTGCCGCGAGGTCCTTGTCTTCGCCGCTCCCGCCCGCCTCCAGCGCAGACAAGAGTTTCTTGTAGCTCGCAAGCCCCGCATCAAACCCACTCTTGGCCTCCTCTTCCTCCTCCTCCTCTTCGCCCCCTGCCACGTTGTTATCGTCGCTACTGCTGTAGTACAAGACGTCTCGACCGGCGGCGGCGGCGGGAGGCTCATCGCCGCGAGGCCGTTTCTTCCGCTTCCGCTTCTTGGGCTTGGTGGCGAGGACCTCGGCAGGGTCTGCTGTGTTGGGCTGGCTCAGCCGCTGCCGTTTCTCGCGGTCCTTGGTTCTGTTGAGCTCCATGATCTTCATCCGTCGCTGTCGGTCTTGGGCCTCCTATTCATTGGTTGCATGACGGAGACGCCAAAAAAAGTCAAGGGCGCTCGACGATTTTGGTTAAAAAGAACGCACGCCCCGCGTTGATGCTGGGCCTAGGCGTGGATATGACAGCCAACGGTGAGATACATGTGCATACGCCGTTCCAAGCGTCAAAGAAACATTAGGAAACGTAAATACAAACACAGAAAGACCACCCATCCGAGATAAGGCCACAGTCAAACACATGTGTTGAATAAGTCGTCACAGCAGTGAATGGAGGGAAACCGGCTGGGTACTGGGGCTTATTTGGAGTCTGCTGAACATGTTGCAGGACAAGTGGAGTCGGTCTCTGTCCCCGACAGCAAATCTGAGATACAGAAGCAGTAGTCCAAAGGTCCAAGGAGTGCCTGCCACAGCATTAAGAGGTGACTACAATTAAGAGCTCCACAGCAGGGCAACAGCGAACTGATGCATACACACAAGGTAACGTCCTGGCTATCGAGGAATGCGGCCTCTCTTGACCTGCTTGTCCGTGGTGCTTCGAGCCTCGCCGACCGCATATCATCCACACACCATTTCGCAACATCGTCTTCGTTTCAAATTGCGGCAACTGATGCAGGCAGAGCTACTACATACCCAAGGCGGAGGCACGCAAGTTCGCATCCCCCTCATCTTCTTCTACTACATGTATCTCTACTGGCTACACGTCGGCGGCAGCAGTGGCTCCGCACCCATGCCTACCTGTGTCAACCGTCTCTTCTTCTTGACTGGCTGGCCCTTCTGCTCGTTCTCCCGACCGGCGCCTTCATCTCCCCATTTGGAGGCGCCACCGCCGCCGCCCTTCTTGCCCTTCTTTCCCTTGCCATTCTTCCCACCCTTCCCCTTGCTCAGACCTTTCCCTCGATTGCCCATGACCGCGAGGTCAGCGGTGCAGCAGTTTGAACCAGCAGGTTGGCATTAAACATGCAGCGCATGATGCTCAATAACACCCGTCCCCTCCCGGGGCTCCGTGAACCCGTATGTTCCGAGGGGTACCCCATGACAATTATGACGTGTTCCTGTTTCGCGACACAGCAGTATCTTGACCACCTAGACCACGGTGCCGAGGTGAGCAGGGAAGGTGTGTTCGTCAAGGTGCGTCTCGTAACCAAGCAGGCATTTTCAGCTCGCGTGCCTGCTGGAAAGCGCCCCCTGCTTTGCTAGCCGCGGCAAACCGTAGTTCCTATGAGCTCTAGTTCGTAACGCTTTATTTGCTTTACCAACCGAAAGCGAACCTCAACAGGTAGCAGGCTGCTCGCTGCCAAGAGGAATGAGAGTATCGCTGCATGCAGCTGCAGCAGTTCTGAGCGTTGGTGCTACTTCAGCCCAGGCCGGGAGTGAAGAATGGACCAGGCGAAGAGGGGGGAGCCCAACCGGAGATCGCTTCGCGTTCGTGGGAGGAGGAGCAGGGATGGGCATAAGAGGGGGGGATGGCTTGTTGTTGACAACACCAGCTTCAGCAGGGATAAGCTTGCGCCGGCGGCGATCAGGGCAGCAGCATGCCCTGTCGATGCAGCTCAACATGCTCCTGTATGATGACAACGAGTCCATGGAATACAAGCGCCGGAGCGTGACTCGAGGCATCTTTGGCGAGCACGAGAAGGAGGTGTCGGGGTGGATGAAGACGTTCAAGAGCTTGGACGGGCCGGAGATGCCCTTCGACGAGATGTGCGACATGATGGACCGAGGAGACTCGTTGCTCCGGGCCAGCAAGGAGAGCAGGGAGAAGAACATGAGGAAATATAGGCACTTCGATCTCAGGGTAAGTGTAGAACGTGATGGTGGTTGGGTACATACTCGTTACGCTGAGTCAATTGAGTTGGCCTGGTTTTCTCGGCCGTCTGCCTCTCATGTCGTTCGATTCAGAGAAAAGGCGGCGAGATTAGCATACTTCAAAATAGCAGAGTACCTCCCCGCCTAGGAGCCTAGGATCACAGCAGTGGGAATTTGCCCTTCGTGTGTCATGCCACGCGCACGGCTCACTCATTGTCGTCGAAGCTCAAGCAGCGGTAAACCAAGGCCATACCTACGATCAGCGACAGTTTCCGCCGGCAATGCCGGTATTTTTGCTGCGGAAGACGATGCCGACAGATAGGCGAACACGCTTCGAAGTGACGGCATCCCGCACGTGCCCAAAGTAGATGGGCACGGTGCAGTATGTATCATATAATAGTACGAGAGATAAGGGGGGCATGTGCACTTAACAGAGTGGACAAAGTTGAAGCGCCTAGTACGGGGTACCCCTTCGCGAGTCATGCAGTGATGGCGGGTGCTCCAGCCGCGCGTCCTGCTCGGGGCACTCTCTACATCTGTAGTTCCATTCCTCCCTACGGACGGTGTCGCGTGATGCGCATGATAAGGTTACCGCTGTGGCGCTGCATGTAGTGACAGCTTTGTTGTAAGATGGTCCCGTGTGTTCACGTGGACTTCAATGAGCTGCTGTGAAAAACTCCATAAGGGTGCCATGTATAGCACACCCGACAAACAAACTTACCCAACACATTCCTTCTACACCTTCCCAGCATAAAATACAGATAGATACAGATGCACAAAGATGGCTACCGACTGCCGTGTGGAGCCTGTTACTCACAGGGGAGACATCGCTTCATGCTGCTCGGGAAATCGTAGAAATAAATATAAGTAGCTTCCGCTGACGCTAAGGATTTTTTGGCAAGATATCCTAGACTCTTGTTGATAGATATGCATAGAGATGGATTTGTTGTGTTACACTTGGAAGTAGGAAGAAAATACCTGCCTGAAGTATGCATACGCGCTGTTTGTTCGCTCTTTTCCAATCAGCCAACATGAGAACATGAGAACATGAGAACATGAGAACGTCAGCAACGATCACAGGCCAACGCCCCTGGTGTTGCTCTCTCTCTTCCTAACGCCCCCATGTACTGACAACAACATCGACCTTGGTAGCCATCTTACAGCATCACCCTTTTCCTTAGGCCTCGTCCAAAGCCCGATTAAGTCGAACCGCCTCCCCAACCTCAATGCGTTCGCGTGGTGTCCTCGATTCTTCTTTTCCTTGTCTTCTTGCAGCGGAACCCGGAACTTCTCACCAAAATCGAAGAAATTGAGTTGGGGAGAAAAGTTCAAGAGCTTTTGCGGTGGGAGCGTGTGCGAATGTTTCTGGAGGTGAGCAAACATACGCTCTTAGCCGTTTGCTACATGATATTGTCTGAATGCTGCACATGGAACCTCTGGGCGTTTCGTTTGGTTTCGGGATAATGCGTGAGTTCTTTGGATCTGGATATTCTTTTCACCATTCCCCACAAACACATCCTCCTTGCCTTCCGAACACCCTGCGGGTGTGTTGCTTTTGCCGAAATTGCGGTCGGCGGGACACATTGTCGGCCAGGCCCTCTCTCGACACTTGGCTTCCGCGGAACGTTAGCCTCACCTTTGCCCCTTCGCGACACCCCTTGTGCGCCCGCGGCACAAACACTTGTTTGCTTTTTGCGCATATTCTTGCTGGTAGATGCGGTTGGGTAGAGCAGCGACGATGGAAGAGTGGGCAGCGGAGCTGGCCACCATGGGCGGGGTCGAAGGGCTAGAGAGGGAGATTGGTATCATGAAGGCCGCGAGAGATCGGATGATCTCGTGCAACCTGCGCTTGGTGGTGCACATCGCCAAGAGGAAGTTCTACAAGGGGGCATCGGGCACGCTAAAGGTGCTCTCGTTGTTGGTGATTTTCGCCGTTAGATGATGACTACCCATCACATTCCTCCCGGTGACGATCATAGTCCCCCTCCGGACCATTTAGCCGTACCCTCTGGTACCATGTAAATGTAACTCGATGGCGCTCGTTCCCATTCCGGTAGCCTAAAGAAATGTTACCTCGTCGAAACCCCGTTCGATGTCTTGGTGTTCTCACGGTTGGGAAGCTGTTCGTGACGTGTGACGTGAACTACCCAACTATTCCGATGGAAAGCGGGGCATTTCCTCCTTACGTAAACAGGGGGCTACCATGCGGGCATCCGCCCAGCATGACCCCTACCTCGGGAGGAATTAATTCTCCTCATTTCTTGTTTCTTGATAGATGAGAGGGGAGGGGGCATAGAGGGTGGGTAGCGCGTGATGGCCGATAGGAAGAGCAGCTAGGGAGACCAACAGAAAGAGGTGTCTCCGGCTCGTAACCTATCTACCACGAGGTTGGGTGCCATCCGGAAACCAGCCGCCTTCTTCTGAGGATCCTGTTTGACAAGCGTGAGTGAAATCGTTTGGGTTTGTATGAAACTGATACCGGTGTAGGTGAGCCTGGATGATATGATCCAGGACGGTACTGCCGGACTGGTGAAGGCTGTCGAGAGGTTCGATCCTGAGAAGGTGAGAGTGACAGACTGAGTAGACTACTGTCATGAACATGCCAGGCGCAAGGGCCGTTGAAACGTATATACTTGAAACACTACCGTTAGGGCAGAGACTTGGCGATGATTGTCCGTCTTTCGCACACCGCTTTCTCCATGAAACGAGACACACAACTAACTCGAAACAAGATGCACCACAACTGTTCTTTTTCGTCTTCAAACCGTCTTTTTATTTTGTCGTTGTGTATGCGGTGTCGTTTCGTGCAAATCAGGGTTTCCGATTCAGCACGTATGCCACGTGGTGGGTGCACCAGGGCATCCACTGCGGCTTCGCGGACTGCGGGAGGGTGGTCAGATTGCCCATGAGCCTTCACACGATGGTGTGCAAGGTGATGAGGCTGCAGACGGCCATGGTAGACCAGCTGGGCAGGCAGCCGACCGTGCAGGAGCTATCGCTGGAGAGCGGGCTCGACGAGCGCAAGGTATCTAAATAGGTGTTGCAGCGTGACTTGACAGCTCAACTCCTTGCGAACGTGCGGCTAACTTCCCCGGCAGCGCCGAACGTTAAGAGCTACTGTTGGCCAGAATCGATCTCGGGACGAAGACAATGGAAAATTGCCTTATTGCTGGGGTCCGGTCACATCGTAGTTTTGTTTTGCAGAAATATTGCGTCGCCTACCTGTCGGCAACCCATAGGAACCGCAAAGCCTCAACATTCCGCCATGACAAGAGTTTTTTTCGCATTTCTTCCATTTCGCTATTGGTGTTCCGACATTATGGAGACCCGTTCGTCCTTCTCCTGTGCCCCGTGCCCTTTGCTGCTGGGTTGCTGTTGATACTTGGTGGTGAACACGCCCACCACAAGGCCAGGGCGATAGCATGACGCCCTTACAGGAAGACCTTCAAGTGGACTTTCTGCAAACTTGAACAGGCGGATGTCTCCTTGTTGACGATGTTCGTTTTCCACCCGGGCTAGAAAGCCTTCCCACTGCTTCCTTGCATATTCCGCGTCACCCCCCGCACTACTTGCAAGGTGCCACTGGACTTGTCAAGATGATGCTTGTTTACGTGGCAAACAGGGTCAGTTCAACAGAAATGCCACGGCTCTTCTCAGTAGACGCCCGTGACTGTCGCTAAGCGCACACCCCCCCCACGTCTGAATTTGTCGATAGTCAAGAACTGCGTCATTATTGCGGCACCAGCACCTTCCCCAGTCGCTTGGGACCGCTCGGCTGATGCCATCCAACCTTTTGGTGCCTTTTCCCGATCTTTGAACGGCTTTGACCAAGCAGGTCGAGAAGTGCCTCCGTGTCAACCAAGTGGAACCCATCTCCTTGGACGGGTATCGCAAAGGCAAGAGCGGACACCTGAACTTCGAGAATAGCTTCAGGAGGGAGCGGGTCGGGGATAGCGTCAAATCGGTACAGGAAACGGTAAGCGACAAAGCAAAGGGCCGTAGGTTCGATGTCGCGTGACGATGGAATATTAATAACTGAGAATGGTCGCAAATCTCAGCAGAGAGACGATGGGGGCGTTGCTGATTTCAGTAGGCGCGCACGAACAAATGAGCATCCACTGCTTATCTTTAAACGAGCATCCAACGCTTCCGCTTCTTTTGAGGTCTTGTTGAAAACGAAGCACTTGGAAGTAAAGATGCTGTTGACCTGTTGACGGGATCAAGCGTCGGTTCCTCGGCCTGGGCCCAGCCCCTCGTGTAGTGAACACATGTTGACACCTTTGCCGTGAATCGAGTTGTATGCTTCATATGCGAGACGGACACATCCTTTCGAGGACACAGCCTGCTCTTTTTGTTTGTGACAGCAAAGGAGGCAAAGAGCCTCCAGTGGGGGGTAACGTGATGCCGGTACGTTACTTCACACGGGACGATTCGATTTCACAAAACAGAGAAGCATTGATTCAATTGTGGTGCACGAATAAGTTTTGGACATCGATATCTGGTTGCTCTCTTCTTTTTGTGTCGACGAATGTTTTATGTAATGTTCACGGAGTACCAGAAGAAGAACCGGCACTGCTTTGCGGCCTCTCCCCCCCCCGCTTCTCGACGTACCGCAGATACACCTCTCGACACTCCCAACGCCACCCTAACCTTGACATCTCTTCTTGGTATGCGATAACAACTACATCACGGCATACCCTCGTTTCACACACATTTGAAGCCTTTCACCCCTTCCCCCGAGTATGTTCGCCCCTCACCCCCCCCCACCCAGCGCAACGCCCACCCATACCATCCCACCATTAATTCCTCTGCTGTTGGGATTATTGATCTGTTATATGCATATTCTATTCAGGAACCAGTGGACGGTGCCGACGTGAGCCTTCTCAAGACGGACGTGGACACCATCCTTGGGGACCTCTCGGAACGAGAAGCCTACGTCCTCCGAATGCGTTTCGGCATCGGCGGCTCTAGCCCTTCCACCCTCGAGACCGTGGGGCAAGAGCTACAAGTAACCCGCGAGAGAGTGCGCCAGATCCAGATCGCCGCGATACAGAAGCTCAGGGGGAGGTCGCCCAGTCACGACCTCCTCTACGCGGACAGGGCAGTATCTCTGGGCAGGGGGGAGGAAGACCCGGCGGCTGCGGTTGCCGCTGCCGCTTTGGCTGCCAGCGCGGCTACGGCAAACGAAGGGTGGGACGAGCGGAAGTACGGCGGGTTGCCACGGTCGGTTTTCATAGATCTAGTGACGCGGGCACTCGAGCCACCGCAGGACGAGATGCTGGACAAGGAAGGGCGGGTTGTCACCGGCGGCCGGCGGCGGGTCATGATGGAGGCGGCGCAGGCCGAGCGGGCCTTAGTACCGAAGAAGTTGAAGAAGGGTTTCGTCATGAAGAGGGCGTGTTCGCCGCGGCGAAGGGGACGGGACGGGGAAGGGGCGCCTGGACGAGGAAGCGGGGGGGGGGCTTCTCTTCCCGTGCCGAGGACCCCTTCCTGGCAACCAACGCTGCAGGTGGCGTAGCAGTACGTTCTGCCTGGCTTGCGGGCATGTACGTCGTTTTCTGAAAGTTGACCTAACCAAGGAGGAATCTTGGAAGGAAAGGGTTGATCGAAAGGCAGGTGGAGTGGCACCTGAACTAACTGCTGTTGTGTGTCTTGCAGCTAAACCTTTGAGTAGGAGTGAGGCGCGTACACAAGAGGAGGAGTTAGATTCGTCGTTTCCTGTTTCCCTCTCATTCATGCCTCCTTGTTGTCTACCTCTCCCCCCCCCCGACTGTTGCGGGCAGACAAACGGAAACCCGAAACTAATCTGGTCGATTGTGTATTTTCCTGTCGCGATGAGAGAGGTTGTTTTCACGGATTTCCTGCAGCAGGAAGGCGTGTGTTTACCCCTGTAACTTTGCGGGGTCGCCCCCTTGGTCCGCCCGCAGGAGCTCATTTGTTGGCCTCTGATTACGCCACGATTGGCATGCTTTTGCGGGGTGGGGTGGATTCGCGTTTTTTTGTTCCGATGTATCTAATGTTGGGTTACGTTGAAGAGCCAGGGTGACGATTGTTAAGCGGTAGGTGCACACTCGGTGCGTTATCGAGTAATTACATATCATCTGTGTAAGGAGCCGCGTGTTGTTGAGCTTCAGCTGTGGATGGTTGATTCGACGGGCGGATTGCGAGGGGCGCTGGTTGAGTGTATGAAGCGTGGAGGTCTTGTCAGGTTTGGTGGGAGTCTGTCATGTAGTGTGAGCAAGAGGCGTTCACGGTAGCGGAAGGGGTGGAGAACACCCAGGAAAATTCCTCGAAGGTTTTCTCCCCCACCGTTTTTTTGCTTGTAAACCTCATAACCCGCGGGATTGTATTCCAGAAACTTTCACCAATCACCAATGAAAACGATCGAATGTAGATTCCGAGGAAATGGCCGCATCGATGGCATGGCAGTGCATGGTTGTTGCTTGAATTCGCACCCCTGTTGTAACGTCTTTTTTTGAGTACCCAGGTTCTACAGTTGCTTTATTTCTGAAAATAATGTATCGTGGGGATATGTTTGCGTGTTTGACGCCTCTGTCGTTCACCACAAACGCGTGGGCAGGAGCGCTGAGCGCGTATTGGACGGCACGGTATGATGGCGGTCTACACTAGGTTGTCGGCGAGCCTGCTGGAGATATTTCCTCTACGATAACTGTTCTGTTTAGCCATCCATTCTGAAGTTCCTGGAGTTTAACAGAAAGCAACACCGCGGTAGGCAGAAAGACGGCCCCCGAGATCTCCGGGTACATCAGTAGGGCATTTCCATCCTCCTTCGGCAGCGAGCTGCAGTAATTACTGCAACACAGCGAGCAGATTGTCTAGTCTCGTTCGGGGGCAGCATGATACTGCTGTAGCAGTCTCAAAATGATCACGTGAGATAAACTGCAGTACCTGCAGTAGACCAATGTCCAGTCTTCAGCCAAGGAAACGTGTTTGCATTCAATCGTAAGAGCATGCTGCCAAACCTACACATCGTCGCCGCTTTCGAGCGGTAAAAGTTCTCGATGTTCTCCCGTTTGCACCATACGCAAGTACAGTTGGCAATTCGGACACTCGCTCCTTCCCTTTCCCTCGCATGTGCTCGACTTACCTACTACCTGTACCCCCCAGACCACACATACCCTACGCCACCGCCTTGCAAGGGACTACACAAGAGCCTGGAGGACAGCCAATAGGCCACGATACGACAGCCTAACACACGGCGGTGTCGCTGCGTTCCAACGAAGACAAGACGAATTTCACATCTCTACGATAAGATGGGCCTGCTGTGATGTTTACGTTTTCATCACACACACGGTACTAGATCAAACACACGGTGCTCGCGTACACTTATTTAACCCGCGAAATAAAAATCCACGAAGGTCTTACGTATCATGTAAACAAAATACCCATCACCACACTTGCAACCTTCCTTCAACAAATGGCCACTGTCAAATATCAAGCGCGTTGCCGTGCACTGCCACGTAGTGCGCGTACAAGCCAGCTCCGCCATCAAGTATACCTGGTGCGGAAGTCGTCGATCAACCTGTCAAAGCATCCCAACCTACCAACGCTACTACGGAAACCCCCGACATCATTCCAAACTGGGGGCGAAAATTCTCGGGCTTCATACACACAGCGAGTTACTATTCTCTCCTCAACATGAGAAGTGCCCACATACAACACATCTGTGGCTTACTACTGAAGGTCTTCATAAGGTACTTTCATCTGGTACACTGCCTTCATTCTGTCGGAGTTGGTGCCGTAACGACCAGTACAGGCAGTCATGTCCTTCTTGTTCCAACACAAAATAATGTGTATCTGGAGAAAGCACCGGAAATATGCTTTCTGCAGAGATGGAGGGTAGTCCTCACGCCTCAACGCTTGAACGCATCCAAACATAAAACACTGACGTTCACCATGCAAAGCACTGGAAACCCTAACTGGAAACCCAAACTCGAAGCACTTCGTACCTCTCGATACTACCAAACTATGCAAAGTATCTTAGCTGCCGCCACGCACAACGGGGCGAATCAGATGCTCATGAGGTCGCCCTCGCCCGGCTCCGGCCCAAACAATCTGCCCCTCGTCGACAACCCCCCTACCCCCCCGCCCGCCCTCAAAAACTGAACGCTCGTTACCAAGCAGCCGAGATATTGTGATTACCTACAAAGAAGCAGCAAGGATATTGTGCAGACAACGCAGCTAGGATACTGTGCAGCAGCTCCTGTTTCTGCTGTTCCCGAAGGAATCCTTGAAGGAGTACCGAGGATCGAACACCCTTCTCTGCTTCTTGAGCCGCGGGTCGTACCCAGGTGCCATGCTTTCTCGAGTCATCCCCGGCGGCACCCCCACAACCTGCTGCTGTTCTCGCGTGATCACCGGCCCCAAGTTAGGCTCCACCCCCGGGGGCTGGGTGTGGACCGGAAACCCAGCCGCCGCTGCCGTCATGCCGCCGGCGGCGGAGGGTGCCATCACCTGGCCGTTTGGCAGGACACTCATCTGGGCGGGCGTCGCGTTGGGAACGAACTGACCGTTCGGCAAGACAGTGCCCGGGGTACCCATGTTCATGGACCCCGGGGTGGCCGACATCACGGCGGGTATTCCGACGGGAGGAATCGCCACCGCTTGGGGCTGCTGGCCTTGATATTGCTGCTGAACCGGGGTTTGCTGCATCTGATATTGGGGAGGGGCGGCGGGGTGGGCAGAACGGTGTGACCAAAGAACAGTCAGTGCCAAGGTTGATCTGCGTTGGTTTCGTGAGGTTGGGGCGCCAACAAAAAGAACGAGCTCGCGCCGCAACACGGCAGACTTATTTCACGGCGGGTGTTCTCTACACAGTCAGGGAGGGCATTGGAGGCAAAGCAATTCCCTTGTTGAACGTCCTGTCCGTCTCCCTCACGCGTGGACGAAATCGCCTAGAGAAGCTTGCTCTTCCTCTCCCGGAGCATAGAGAAGATGACATTGCAAGTATATTGGGAACGACATCGTATTCATTCGTGAGTTATTTTTTTCTGACTCTGCACTGCCGGTCGCCGCGGTGGTCCACCGTATTGCAGGTGGTTTGACCACGGACATCATGTGCCGGTGGCTAGGGTTGGGAGGTGGGTGCTCAGGTCGGTGCTCAGCAAAATTGTTTACCGTAAGGGTGCGAGCCATCGCACCCCCGTGTGGTCGGTTTTTCAACACTTTTGCAACTATTTTTCCATCGCGTAGGGGTGCGATGACTCCGGACTGTGCTATGCATATGACTCCGGACCCTGTGCGATGACTCCAGTATGTGCAGTCCTGAGTGGTAAGCCCTGAAGGCGATGTCACTAAGAATTTATGACGCAAACCGCTTGTGCGGTAACTCCGGTACGTGCGGCACTCGAAAATTCTATGCAGACTCACGGACACCTCAGTTGTGCCGCGGTTCCAAGCTCCACACGCAACGTACACACACATGCGTCCGTACGACAACCACAGCAAATAGTCCGGTGGATACTAGTTTTTTTTAGAAAGCACACACACATGACGTTGTCACAGGTCCCAGATCGTGGCCTGTGAAGCATATTGTGCTTTCCACCGCAATACCGACGTCTTTTCGAAGGTCAGCCGGTCAAGTTAGCCCAGTGGATGCAAATCAAGAAGACACATGCACACACAAAGTGCGGCGAAACAAAACGCGGCGAAATACGAAATCTCGCGGGCGGAACACATTATTTCCCGATGTCGGTTGTGACCACACGCATCACAGAATCTTTGGCTTGCGGCTGCTGCTTTCTTTCTCGTGTTTTGGTGGAATGGACAATGTTCAAGTTTACCGATGCAATGGAAAATACGAAAATACCAATCGATGTTTTTTTCCTTCATTCGTCCACGCGTGGTGTGCGACGATGACATACTTCAACATACTGGCATGGTTGCAGGGGTTACAGTTGCCCCGGAATCGCTGGCACACAACTACCCGAGGTTGCGAGCCATCACACTCAACTCATCACACCCCTCCCTGTGCGGTGACTCCGGACCCGTGCGGAAAGCCAGTTGATAATTGAGCCATTCATTTTCATCGTACAGGGGTGCGATGACTCCGGACCGTGCGATGACTTCGCAACCTACGGTACAACATATATTTCGCATTTCGTACCAACCGCAGCATATTGATATGTACAGTTGGGGCCCCGGTTTAGCGACCCCTAGTGTCACGACGAAATATGGCTGCTATTCAGTCGCTAAACCCGGTTCAGCGACTAGTGGGTTGCTAAACCGGGAGCCTCAATAGCGACTAGCGGTCCCTAGACCGGGAAAATGCGCCATTTCGTGGGACTAAAGGTCGTATTGCAGAAATCTTCTTGACCGGGTCATGTGTGCGTCGTATTGCAGCAGTCACATGAAGGTAGAGGAAAGAAGAAGCACCTTAGGGTGGACAACCGGGGAGTAGATCCTATTTGGAATGCATTCCAAAGAACCAGCAAGCTTGTTTTATCCTCCGAAGTTTGCAGGAAATGTCTCAACAACAAATGTACAGAGAGTGCCTTGTGTCTTTCGCGCATGCTGAACAATCTGTCTCTACATGTACATAGACCAACACAAATGTAACACGTATAAGTGAGTCCTATCTGCGAATTGTAACAAATAAAGGTGGGAAAGGGGAAAAATTCATGGCAACGTCCCCCCAAAAACAAAACGCCATGGAACGGAGAAAGTTCATAAACCCAAGCGGTAAAGAACCTCGCGCTGCTAGTGACTGACTTCATTCTGCTACTGTCACGTGTACCGATCATGTTAAACTAAACATTCTCTTATGTCTGTCAGTCGCGCTGGTTTCGCGAAGTGTGCTTGGATGAACAAAACCTTTGCCTTGCGAAGTACGCTGCCTCGCGTAACCCACACGACTGCGCGCACTCTTGTGACGACTCTGCGCACTCTTCTGGCGATCCAAAATGCGACGAAAGCTCCGAGTAGGGCGGCGGTGCCATCACTCCCCCACCCCCACACCGCCATCTCTCCATCTACCTTTACCTCTCTTTGCGTTTGGGTGGATTCGAGACGGGTGGGGAAGCCTGCATGTTCTTGGATACACACTCGCGGCAGGTGGGTGCATCGATCAATGCTCCACCTCCTCACACATTCGGTGCAGGCGTCCACCGCAGCCACCATGGCACACATGCCCCTGGGGTGCCCGCAGTTGAACATCCGGCTGTTTGCACAACTTTCCCATCGGCGCACGGCATGTTGCGTGTGTGTACGTGTCCCGCGATCTTGTGTCTTTACGTGTGGAGGAACGCGGGGTCTCCGCAAAAATTGAAACGATGGTCACTATTGCCTGATGAACACAGTTTTTTGAGGGTACGACTACGACCGGTTTAGCGCTAACCCGGGTTACAGCGGTGTCACGAGATTTGGGGGTCGATAAACAGGGCACGTCGCTAAACCGTGGCCCCCACTATACTGCTGTATGTAACAAGTGTTCGTTCTCCAGGAGGAGGCGGTCGAGACGAATGGTACAGAACTTTCTTATTCTATTGTACATTGACGTGCAAAGGAATTCTATGCGCGACCCCGGGTTAAAGCTTTGCAGTCAGAGACAATTGTCTCATACCACTGCTGTAGGTTGAGACTTGCGAGCAACGCTCCCTCAATCACCGTAACTTGATCTGCCTTAAGCAGGAGCTGCCAACAACCAACATGATGACCACAAGAACAAATCCAGTGACCAGCAGGTTTGCCTCAACACCCAACCAAGCGCAAAGACTTCAACACACCCCTTCGAGCGGGGTGTTGTCTCTCGAATGGATAGCATTTTTCCCTGATCGCACAATCTGCGTACCCTTTCTAAGAACATCAGGTGCAACCACGGTGTGGTTGAACTACAGAGTACTGCTGTAAGTCGGTATATCTACAACTACAGCACTGCTGTAGTATGTAGACTAGTTCCTCGTTCGTTCTGCGAGAGAAGAAAGTATTGCAGGAACACCATTTAGTCTATGCGTATGTATCCAAGAGCAGACAACGCAACAATTGGCCGGAGAGAAAGATAGTACTTCAGTTGTGCACGCCTGTTCAGAGTTCATCACACACTCACGCTCAACACCTTGACGGTACACCGATCTGTGTCACCAGCAGTGCCCAACATACTGCACGTGCGTGTTGGTCGGATCTTGACAGTCGAGAACATTTTGTGCGGGACCCCACAACACATCAACCAGACTGGGGCCGTGCCTGCGGAAGCATGCAACACGACGCAACTACTGCCATGCGTGTGCACCGGACGACAACTAGCATTGGCAAAACACCAACGCCGCTCTGCCCACAAATACCTGCTTACCGTGATTCGCAGGGACGTTTGCCGTTCGGGGTGAAAGCGCGCTGAAATCTCCGCACTCGCAAACTCAGAGAGATTAAACTATCTATGCAGTTGAATGCTGCTCCCCGCCCGACTGCTCCCAGCAACACCTTCGATGCACCTCTCCTGGCTTGCAAGCAATGTCTTTGTCGGTGGATGGGCAAGAGAGACTTCTGGACGACTTGCGATGAAATGTCGAGTGTGGACTGTGATGCGGCCCGGGGTAGAATGTTGAGTGAGGAGTGCGGAGGCGGCCGAACGAGGAACGGTGCGCGGCAGTAAAGATTCATAAAAGAAAAGGGGAGGGGATTCCGCACCTGGAGGTACAGAGGGGTGGGGCGGGGGTTAGACCTCGGTTCTCGCTAACCAGACACCAGCCAGAAGCAAGACCAGGATTTTGCCGGGTAGTGGGTTGTGAGTGGGCTCTTTTTGGCGTGCTGTGTGACTCCTATGTTGATGGCATACGCGCTGCTTAGTAGTGCCTCCTTGTTGGTGCTGGGAAACTGAAAAGCGAGACTGATTGGTGTTTTCAATGTTGAAGCTCGACGAAAGGATCGTGATCATCAGCGGTCATCATCAGATTTTTTTGGGGGAGTCAAGCGAGCCAGGCGAGCCAGCAGAACCTATTGTAGGACGCTGACACCCCAAGAGGAAGTTGAAAGGTAAACTGTCTTCCATGAACCTGTGGTCGTATAACATAACCGGAGTACATAGACGACATGCACATATGCACATCCATCTGCTAACCCCGTACATGTATGCATGTTCTTCTGTACAGCAGTAGCATGCATGTGCTCTCCTGTATGCAGCGTATGATTTCCGCCTGTGTAGACTTGTCCAAGAACCTCCAGATATTCTTTGTGGCCCGGGCAAAGCATTATAGAAGTAGACTATAAGGGTATTGTTGTGTATTCTGTAAATCACAAAACAGACATGAATGCAGCTCAATTTGCTTTGCTTCAACGCACCCACCTCTTGATGATCAGGCCCAATCGCTCGCTCGAGCAGGAACTTTTCATTTTGCGGGAAGCACTCCCCGCACGTAATTCGATGGCGCATACACATATCCAACGCGGACGACAGGCAAACTCCTTTCCCCGGCAACCTACATGTACGTTTGCGGGCAAAGTGTCATCTCTCGGAATTCTTGAAGTCGTTGGCGACCGCACACCGTGATTATTGAGCTCGTGTATGTTGTACAACAAACGTGCACATTCACCATGGACTATACCCCTGAACGTATTCGCACGCACGACAACATGATGAAGTGCTCTACGAATGTAGAAGAGCTCAATCTGTAGCGATCCGCACCCAATCCGGGACCAGACACTGATTAACATTGATGACCTCCCTGTCTGGCTGCTCGCGAGAGCGACAACTCCGTTGTTATCCTTGTGCTGCTTGTCACACTCTCTACCAATAGGCGATGCCACCTCGATCTCCGCCGGAGCTAAGCAGATACCGGGATCTGGCAGCTTTTGCGACGACACTGTTTCTGCCTCGGCTCCTCCGCTGAGGGCAAATGCCAGCCTGTTGAACAAGCTAGAGGCCTCACGAATGCGCGCTCTGGAAACTCTATCAAGGTGAAGTTCTGCCAAAACTAACGGAAGCCTCTGGTTAGACGGTTGAAGTTGCAGAAGAGCGCTGTTGCCAAGGGTCATCAGGGCTCGACCACTACCACGGCGTTCCTTGGACAGATGTGCGAGTTTCCTGCTGAGCGCGATGTAGTTCGAAGGTTCCGTGGGGCATTCAGTGTACTACATGTAGGTTTAGCCAAAGGACAAGCAATTGTTGTTGTTGTTGTTGTTGTTTCTCACATTAGCTCTATAGTCCACAAAAAATGGGGAGCCCGTGGTCTCAAAACCCGGCACATACGACGCCGCGAGAAAACAAAAAACAAAAATAGGATACAAACCACTCGGAAAAAGAAAACAAAATGATCGAAAGAAAGAAAAGAACAGGTATCGCACCTACTGTTCGAGAAAAGAGCCCTCGGACACCGATCAAAATAAAACAAAACAAAAATAACAAAAAAAATAAATAAAGGAGGACGCTTCCCACACCCGCCGAAAGAAAAAATGAAAGGGTAACGTAACGTACCAGCACCAGGCACTGCGCACCAGGGCATGGGAGTAACGGAGCAAACAGGGCAAAGAGGCGGCAGATGGGCAGACAGCCAGCCGTACAAAAAAACAAAGGCAACAGCAAAGCGATATCAAGGTACCCAACACAGCAGAGCAGGCAGGGAGGTCATGAAAAAAAAAGAAACACAGCACAGAGGCCGAAGGCAATACAAGGACATACATAAAGGAGTATAGCATACGGCAGGGAGGGAAACAAGCAATGTAGTCATGCGAACACCTTCGTTAGGGGTGCCGTTGGTCGGGGCAGTGGCCGCACCGTCGGGGATCCCGACTCAATATGGAGCAGTGGCAGTGTCGCCCTTCTACCGGTCCTCGCGGCCACGTCCCTCCCCCTTTCATTCTCCCCTTGGTCCCCACATGCCATGCCCCATGTTGTATGCGATAGTGTATTGTTTGACCATGTTCGCGGCCGTGCAAGACAACCGACGGGGACCCGCAACGAACGGCCGGCGTGGCGAGAGGTATCGACCAGTCCACCGCGCGGAAAAAAGGGATGGATGACTACGTCTACCAAATCGTCCCTCCAAGCAGTAAGACCACCACGTAGTGCGACATGTTCTCTCGAAGAAAAGTCGACGGGCGACAACAGTGCCCGTTGGAGGTTGCTTCATATACCGTTCTAGGGCCGCGTGTTCGTTCACTGCGATCTTTTAGGAGGACATTCGACATGGTTCCAGGGCCCAACCAACATCCCCACTCTCACGGTATGACAGGGCTTGCCGGGTTTGGTTTGATTCCCCTGGTATCCCGTCAGTTGGGAACTTCGGTTTTGGTCTCACTGCTCTGTGTAAGCATGACGTGTTGCCCATAATCGTCGTTTGACGCGTTTCATGCTGGGCGTATGAGTTCTGGCCGTTATTTCAATATTTTCCTACTCAGCTGTGACAGTGCACGGCGTCCATCGCTCCCCCAACGCACGGCAACTACTGTGGTAGCATTCGAACCGGCAAACAAAACCTAGTACGTCTTGATGTTGCTTGCTCTACACGGGAAGCGATTACTACAAAGGGCGGACCTTTTGGTGCAAGAGGAACGAGACAGGCTTTTACGCGAGCTTAACGCGGAGTTGGGCGTGGAAAGAAAGAAGTTGGAAGCAAGAAAGCCTGCCATATCGGAGGAGGTGAGCCAGAGATCTCGGGGGGTGTCGCTATCCGATTTGTTGTCCTCAATACTCTTGGTGCATGCAGCAAACGAGGTTGGTGGTTAACACGATTTATACTTTGTGACAGGCTAGGCAAGCCGGATGTGAATGGTCACCTTGGTCTTGGCCTTATGAACGCAAACACGATAACCGAAACCGACCTTGTTGTCATAATCAATTGCATCCCAGCCACCCGTGGTGCATTGTTTCGTTCGCGCCCTTTGTGCTGCTTCCCATCTTGTTGTGTGTCTCCTAGGCATACCGCGAAGCAAAGAAAGAACAAGTGTTCACTCTGCAGAAGCAGGAGCATGATCTGAGAATGGTGCTAGCGAGGTGTGGCACGAGACATGTGCAGCAATATAACGTCATATCTCTCGATCTTCACGCTGCCCGAGCACCGTTCCGGGAAACGTTCGAATGGTTGGGGGGTCAGCGAATAATATATGATCTTCAAGCGCCTGTCACGTCGGGATGTTGGACACAATTGTTGCCCAATCGAAGCAAGACTCCAATAATTCACGTTTCCAGGCAGGGCGAACACTGCTGCCCTCATAGCAAAACCTGTACGCATAGGCGGTGCCCCGCTCTTGGAAGCAGTGTCTGGTAGTCGCGAAAGTTTGACACGCAGGATAGGATGCTTGGCATGATATTAACGTCGTTCCATGGGCGGTTGTGGTGCCTGTGTTGGCCCTCGAAATGTGCGGCGATTACCTCTCACGGCGCTCTTGCTCGTTTTCCTCTGCGTCTCGCTTCATGTGTGGGCCTTTGTCCCTTCAACGAAAACGCCATCAATGATGGTCCCCGAATTCCGTGGCCAAAAGTGCCAACCCCCCCCTTGTCGCACCGTTTTTGTGTGGGTGGCCGAGTGCAGGCGTGAGTTGAAGGACCTCAAAGATGCTGCTCGCGAGAGACTTGCTGTGGCGCATGCTCAGGAGAAGGAGAAGACTTTGTCGAGGCTGAGGCGTTCTCTCAGCAGGGGCACAGGGCATAGCGTCAGCGGTCTACAGGGGGAGCTGTGGGAAGAAGCCCACAAGAAGCGCGAGAGGTAGATAAACTTTCACGTGTGACTTTCACCAGAAGGAAGGCTGGTATGCTGGCTGGAGGTATTTGTCACGTGCAACGGATGGATTGCTTCGGGGTGTGGCTCAATCAAACGGATCATTGTATCACATCATGCGCCTATCTGCACACACGACAGCAGAATCGGCGTTGCTTCGGTCCTTTGTCATGCTGGGATTGACGACCGAAGGTTCATGAAGTACTTGGTGCCGCGTTGTGAACTCGTTCGAAAGCCGTGAGGACGAGTGTGATTGGTGGCGTTGATCTAAGTTCACCGTAGCATGGACAAGCAATTAGTCATGTATACATATGCAGCCTGCGGAGAAAGTTTCTCCCCAGCCAGGTCGATCACTTTGTCCTACCTAAACGTATGGTAGCATGACGAAAATCTTTTCCGTTATGACATGTTCTGGCGGGCATCTACCACTTTAGATCGCGTCATACTACGGCTTTTGCAACGCGTGGGCTATCCTAGCCTACCCTTGCATGGATTACGCGCTAATATCCCTCTTGTTCTGCGGCCCACATTGCAAGGGCAGAGCACTGCACGAGGGAGAGGCGGCGTTTGAACATTCATGCCGACTCCTCAGGCAGCAAAACGACCACAACATTCAGGCAAGCAAAATTCATTCCCCAGGGTCATTTATTGCCGCTTGGCCCCACTGTGGTGCTTACGACTGCCCTACAGATTGCCGTGACAACCCTCTCCCGTGGCGTCGTACATAGTGCCAAGGCGAATATCGAGTTCACCCCCGCCCCCATCCGCCTGTCGATAATTTCCATGTCGTCAGGCTAAGATAGACGCGATGGGTGGAGAGGCTGCGATCGCCCAGGAAACAGCTCTAGAGGCACTTCGTGAGGTAGAGGCCAGTATCACTAAGGAGGAGCTGTCTAGGGTGACTAGTGACTTGGAGGGGGACAGAAGAGAAGCCGAGACCGAGCTGAAACGACAACTGCACGTGAGTTGAAACAAGCCAGGTTGCGCATCTCTAAATGCAACGGACAGTGTCTCGTGGCTTGGGGAGAGGGGAGCGTGCTTATTTGGTCACCCACCGTTCGCAACGAAACAGATAGCTCGCCCACCTGCTACAACTCTGACGCCGACCTAGAAAAAATTATCCGCTTTCTTTCCAAGCTTTGCAGGAAATCACGAATATTTGTGGGCGAGACTATTCACCGGTGACGTCAAGACACATTGTATGGAACATTAGGCTGGGGGCAAGGCAGGCAACGATTCAAACACCCACAATGATTAGGCAACGCGATATCAATTCCAACAGGAAAACGACTTTGGAGGAAGGCGGCGTCATCCGTTCAACTGTGACCCAGTAGATGGGTACGCATATCGTCCAACAACGAGTGGCTTTCACATTTCCCGCGTATTAATTGGCGATAACCGGCGATTTCAGAGTGAGGCAGCAAGATCCATCAATGTTGCCGTTGAAGCATGCACGTCCAAGCACAAACGAGTCCAGCACGAGACCACGGTCAGAGCCGCGGAGGTGTTGAGGCAAGCACTCGACGCGGCGGGCGAGCACGAGGTAGCGCGCACCAAGGCCGTCTTAGGGCGGTAAGGAAAGGCGGCGGGCACCGTAGACCGGCTCATGGTAGTAGTACACATACATTCCACGTCTCTCGTTGAGCCCATTCATCCCCTAAGCTTTCTCCCGAAGAACGCCAGTCTCCCCGTGGTGGTATCAAGTTGATACACGTCGACGCACGTCAAGTGTGCGAAGAAAGAGTGGGTTGCACTGGAGGCGGCCGTCCCGATAAATCACTGCTGTCCTGCGTCTCATCCTCATTTATTTTCCTTTCAACTGCTTGGTCCGTCAGAGAGGTTAAAATGCTGGACGATCGGAGGTCTTCCTTGATCTCTGCCGTGGAGGAGGCACTGAGCGCCTCCTCTCTCCGGAAGTTGGCAGAGGCCGAAGCTTCGCGATCATCGTTTTCGTCGCCGCCACCAACCCCTGGAGCTCTCAATTCCAAACACGCCAACGGCAACAGCAGCGGAACTCCACTCGGTGAAGATGACAATCCATCACCGACCGGTAGGAAGGCGAAGAGGGCCGTGAGGTTCGCCGAGGAGGCCGCGGCAGCTGCCGAGAGAGAGTACGCCAAGCGCGCTCGGGATCTCGTGCGCATGCGGGCGGCTGCCGCACAGAAAGGGCGACAAAACAACGACAACAGAGACATCATCAATGGTGGTCCTGAGCTCCGACCGCCTCCACGGCACCACGAGCGGGGGGGCAGCGGCGGCATGGGGAAGGACTCGGTTGAGGCGGCAAGCCCCGAAGCGCGGGGTGGCGGCGAGGCGGAGAACAGCTTGGTGGGGTGCAGCGGATGTGCCGTTCTTTTCGAGGCCAACGAGAGGTTGTTGCAGGAGGCCAAAGCTCGCGGTTTTCTGAGCTGATGTGCTGGGTGACCAAGAGTACATCTAGACCCAAGGCAGAGCAAACTTCTGGCCTGCGTACTGTCCTCCAGAGCCACTGATACTAGACTCCGAACGATTCAAGGATGTGAACTGCCCAGGGCTGCTCTGCGTGTGCAAACGCTTTTGATGCTTGATGCACAAGAGTCGATTTGGAGCTTCTTCTCCGTGATGTCTGGTGCCACGTACAAGAGAACAGCCAATTCATGACAATCGCACAGTAGGATTGCTCCCGGGATTAAGGGATAAAACGCCATGCAGAACAGTTCTCAAGAACTATTTTGTCGGGGTCTGAGTTCAATAAAAGTTAGATAGAAACAGTAACAGTAAACGGCTAACCGGGGAATGGATACAGACGGTCGACCCCGGTCAAGAAGTTATGACAGAACGAAAGACTAAGAACGAACAGAAAGAGAAAAGAAAAATCCACTTCTTCATTGTTCGGTTCGTTCTTTCGTGATGTGGTACACTTACGTGTGTGTCCTAACCCACAGTTCGACANGCCCCCTATCAAACGGTTATCTTACCAGTCTGCGTGACACAAAATCATCCAGCACATGTATCCAACAGCAATGTTCGCAGACTCACGAACACCCTCCCTGGTTCTTCACGCAAGTGACTAACCATCAATTGGGCAAGAACGCCCCAGGATACATCAGAAAATACCAACATGGTAACATATGGAGGGGAAACCCGGCGTTCGGGCAAAACCCCTCAAGGAAAAACCCTTCCACCA